GAATTGGCAAGAGATTGTATTGAATTCAAGCATCCCCTGGTCAAAATCATGAGCAAGAGCAGAGGTGGTATTCAGCAGGTTCTGACCAGTTCTGGAGAACCGGTAGCAGAACTTTTGAGTAGTTTGGAGAACCGGCAAATCCCACCTCTGACTGGAGATTTTACAGCAGGGGTGTCCAACCTTGGCAACTTTAAGACTTGTGGACTTCAACTTCCAGAATTCCTCAGCCAGCAAAGCTGGCTGAGGAATTCTGGGAGTTGAAGTCCACAAGTCTTAAAGTTGCCACGGTTGAACACCCCTGTTTTACAGTATCCTTCCCCTGCTCCGCCCACCAAACCACGCCCACAGAACCAGTAGTAAAAAAAAAAAAAATTGAATCTCACCACTGGGCAAGAGGGCAATGTTTTCAGGACATCCCTTGAATTTATGGAAAGGATTTAGGGTCACGTTCAGCCAAGAAGCTTTAAGCTGGCGGAGGTTTGGCTCTGGTCTAACAAGGATATTCTCTTTACTTCCCCTTGACCATCACTTTCTGGCTCTTTTGCTGACATCGTTCACTTCTGCTGGTGAAGCTTTGCAGCAGATTAAGTCAGTTGTCAGAAACTGTAAGTCAGAAGAGCATCTCACCTGGAAGAAGTGAGGTGGGTCTACTTTTAATCAACCTTGAGTAAAGAGGATGGCCTTAAAGGGACAGAGGGGAAGATCTGCTACTGAGAAATAAAGGCTTGAGCCCAGGTCAGTAAAGTGGATTATAAGAACACGTCAGACAGCGCCACCCCCTTTCACGTAATAGAAGGGAGAAAGGGAAGCACAGTCAGACAGGCAAGATTCTTACTATAGCCGTTCTAATAAAAATAACCTTAAAAAGCAATGGGTGGAAACGAATCAAGGAGAGAAGCAACTTAGAACTAAGGAGAAATTTCCTGACAGTTAGGACAATTAAACAGGAGAACAACTTGCCTCCAGAAGTTAGGAATGCTTCAACACTGGAAGTTTTAAAAAAGATGCAGGATAACCATTTGTCTGAAGTGGTGTAGGGTTTCCTGCCTAGGCAGGGAGTTGGACTAGAAGGCCTCCAAGTTCCCTTCCAACTCTTGTTTGTTCTATTCTATTCTATTCTATTCTATTCTAAACAGAGACGTTGAAGACCTAAAGCCTTGTCTCTCTGATAGGCCAGTCAGTCTATTTCAGAATATTTCCCCTAAAAGGGAAGTAGAAATCAGAGAGGCAGAAGCCCACCCCTCACCTTTGTTAATGGGCAGGCCATCAAGGCCTGGGCCAGAGTACTCTACATAACAAAGGCCTCTACCCATCTCCCCACCTGGCCTGCCTCAGATTGCATCAGCTAGCACTCAGGTGAAGTCATAAGGTCCAGACAAAGCCTACAAAGTTAGCTAAGTCCCCTACCCCTGGGAGTCTGACAGCCAATGGGATACATTTCTTACACAGGAACAGGAAACACTAAGGTGGGGCCCAACAGAGGTTATATAAGGGTCTCTCAGCGTCTTGGTCTTTCCCTTCTTGTCCTTCTCACCCTGAAGTATGTGATCATCCTTTCTTTTTCACTTTGGAGCTCCAAGCCATGTGGTCCTGCTGTCCACCATTAAACCATCTTTCCAAACAGGCTCCCTGTTTCCAGTGCCTTCTCCCCCACTTGGAACTGAACCCAGAAGGATAATTCTTCCAACACACCCTAAAATCTACACCTCCGATCATTTTCTTTAGGAAAGCATGATTTATCTGAACAAAAAACTCTCCCCCAGATCTCTCCAACAGATCTGATTTCTGGTTTCTTCGCTTGCCTGGCTCAGAACGTGCTAAAAGTTCACCTGGAACAGAAGCACGGAACACTTTTGAACACCCTGAAGCCTGCCTTCCAGAAAGAAACCCCTCCACCCACCCCCGAAAAAGAAAGCCGCCAGATTACAACGAGTCGTCGTCGGTTCCGAAGTGTTTTCTCTCTTCCAAACGAGCGAGCCGCAAAAGAGGGCAGAGAACTTCGCTTTCGAGTGAGGGGGCGGCTTTGAGCCGTGTGAGTGGACCGCGCGAGCAGCGGGGCACGAGCGTAGCTGCGGATTTGGGGAGGGGGGAGGGGGCGTCATCACTGCGCACTCCTCGCCTCCCCTGGCAGAGATCCAGTAACCATGGGTTACCCTATCAGTCAGGGGACCCGCTGCCTCCCCTCTCTGCCAAAGCTCTATAAAAGGGACCCGGTCCGGGAAAGCCGGCGAGGAGGCAGCCCCAGAGAAGGCGCCGCTCCCGTCGCTGCTACCTCGTCTCCTCACACCTCGGCGCAAAGGCTGTCCCGGACATGGCTGTCGGATTCCGGCGCTGCCAGCTCGCCTTGATCTTCTGGGCCGCCCTCGGCGGGGAAAGCAAGTTCTTGGAGGTGAGCGAAGAGCGGACGTCTCGCTGCCCCCCGCCCTCCCCCCCCACTCCTCCCCGTTCTCCGTCCGGACCCCTTCCAACGCCGAAGGGGCCCCCTGTACTCGCGCGCTCCCCTTTGGCCATCTTTGAATCAGAATAGAGCTGGAAGGGACCTTGGAGGTCATCTAGTCCAACCCCCCCTGTTCAAGCAGGAGAGCCTTATATATGCCCTCCCCGTTGCGCCAAGAGCCATGTGGGGGCCCCCTTCCGCGCCCCCCCGCTCGGAGCTCTTCTCTGTCTTTTGTGTTTCCAAGGGGCGGCAGGACACCTTCGCGGACGGGACGGCCCTGCTCTTCAACCAGGAGCTGAAAAGGCAACTCTCCGGCGAGCAGATCTACCGACGGGAGCTGCGTGAGTTTCTTTTCCGGAGGCGGGCGGGCGGGCGTTGCGGCGAAGTTGCGGGCGAGCTCGGGTGGAGAGCGGGCACCTGCGGCGGAGAGTTGTGTTTAGTAGCCAGCCGGAGCTGCGGGAAGGGAGTTAGAGGGGTTCGCGGAAGAGGTGGGAAGGGCAGAAGCCGGTCGGGATGGCGGCACGGTAGATCAGGGGTCCCCAAAACTTGGCGACTCCGCCCCTTAAAAAGAATTAGATGTGAGTTCAAGTGACTTAGTTTGATCCCAGCTCTAGAATGAAAACGGGAGCCGGTATGTTGCGGTGAAACTTAGGCAGGGACGGCTTCTCGCAAGTGAGAAACGAGGAGACATCGTCCCGGCGCCCTTTCTAAACCCCAGTTTTGGTAAGAGTGAAAATTAAAACTGTGGAGGTGTATCCGGAGTGCTTGTCCAGAGCAGAGGTCTGCAAACTTGGCAACTTTAAGACTTGTGGACTTCAACTCCCAGAATTCTCCAGCCAGCACAGCTGGCTGGAGAATTCTGGGAGTTGAAGTCCACAAGTCTTAAAGTTGCCAAGTTTGGGGAGCCGGGTCTGGAGCCGAAAACTCTGAGAGCAACCAATGCTTTGCCTTCTGTGGCATTCCACTTCCTGCACTGTTTCTGTTGCCAACGTCGCCTGGAAAGGGAGGAATCAGAATATACTTTTTTGTGGGGGTATCATTAATATTGCCGAAATAATGTCCCAAAGGTGCTTTTTCAAGAGACAACTGGACGGTCTGTTTTTTTCTTTAAAGACGTTTTGCGTGAAGATGAAGCTGCTTGGATGAAGTTGCTTTTCAGCTGAAGAAGCTTCTTAGCTGAGAAGCAAAACGTCTTCAAAAACAAAAAACAAAACCCAGACTGTCCAGTTGCCTCTTGAAAAAGCACCTTTGGGACAACCATGACCTGGATGACTGAGAATCTCCATAGACATTGCCAAAATAAGTTTTGAATAAGTGATTTCAGAGGCAGATAATGTGAATGCTCTTGGAACTGCCAACTAGAAAGAAGGAAAAGTTTATAGTGGTTTTATTCAGCTGGCTGGCTGGGGAATACCAGAGGATGCTTGTGACTGAGAGAGTAGTCCATCCTCTCCAATCGGATGTCTTTTGGACAATCGGGGCCACTGGTTGCAGCTGGAGAACATTGATAACATCTGAAGCTAGACAAGAGAAAATACAATTTTGTCGTTTTCTTTTCAGCTGGGTTTCCACCAGTGGTGGAAGGAGGTGCAGTAGAAGAGATAGGATAGGAGAAAAAGTTGTGGTGGGATACAGATAGTGGTAGCAATCTGTACTGGGTGCCTAAGGGAAGGAAAAGAATGGCCCTGCATAATTTTAGGTTGTCTCACTTGTGGGCTGGGAATGGTTCCAGCTTCCTAGGAGATATCAGTTGGTACTTTGAAGTTGAGAGGTGATACCTTTAAATATGTTTTAATGGGTGGTCTTCTTCCTCATGACTAAACACACGCCAATGCTGAACCTGTGTACTGGGACAGATTCCAAAACTTGCTCCTAATCCTGTGTTCAAATTAAGAGCGAGAGACTCCTTCCTTGGAGCAAAATTCCAAGCTATCTTTCCCCAGATGCCCTATGTAGGTGTGGGATTTCAGTCCCCCAAATGTCTGCACTATTCAGCTGCAAGGCTCTAAGATGGAGAAGGATGCCAGAAGCAATGCTTTTCAGGAAGGATTGTGGCAAGGATCTGAGAGGATCTCCATGTCCTATGCCAAGTATGAAATGGCAATGAAGCATGAAGGCTACTTCCATTCCTAGCCCAATATCTTTGTTTAGCAGTGCAACAAGAAAGGAAGCAGTTGGCATAAGGAGAAAAATATAGAAAACACGGGATGCAGAATATGATGAGTTGCAAGAGAAAAAGATTGCAGAAATGCAGTGAAAAGCTTCACTGGCTACTAAGAGCTGTGGTGGTGGTGCAGTGGTTAGAATGAAGTACTGCAGGCTAATTGTGCTGACTGCTGATTGCCAGCAGTTCGATTCTCACTGGCTCAAGGTTGACTTAACCTTCCATCCTTCCAAGGTGGATAAAATGAGGACCCAAATTCTAGGGGGCAATATGCTGACTCTGTAAATTGCTTAGAGAGGATTGTAAAGCATTGTGAAGCGGTATATAAGTGTGCTTGCTATTGCTGTTATGCCATGTAGCCAAATATAGTCCACTCTCATGGGTGTGTTTGTTAGTTATCCAAAGGCTCATCTCTGTTGACATTCCCTCTGTTTCTCTACCAACACCTCTGTTTCATCCTTTTAACTGGCATCTCAGGGATTAAACAGAGACACTAATACATGCAAAATTTACACATAATACTAAATCACAATATAATTTGTGTGGTTTTGGCTTGGTGTATTATATGAATATGCCATTGTAGTTTGTATATCACATTTTATGGCTTAGCACATTGCCCAAACCCAGCTAATTGTGGAGTGTAGCAGTTATGATTAAGCAAACCATAATGTATGAATCCACTCTATCGCTGATACATGGTACTTTTCCCATGTCTGTTTTTCATGAGTAACAAAATACAGACTTTAAAATCTTCTTGAAAAGAGAAGGAAAGAAAGTATACAGCTTGCCTATTACCTATTTTGGGACTTTTATCTACCGGTACTTTCTATGGCACAAAAAACCACTGAGCAATTTCTGCATTCTGATGTGTCCTCACCGTGTCACCTTCATCCCATTCCCAGCCCACAAGTGAGATAAGCTTAAGCCATCTGCTTTACTTCATGTTAAAGTAATGCTTTTCCCCCCTCTTTTGCCTATCCTGTCTTGGTTTGGAAAATCCAATTATTTCAGCTGGATGTCAGCTACTTGCAGTGATTTGAAATAAAGGTAAAAGGAAGTAGGAAATGAATCAGCAGTGGAGATAGCATTGGCAGCATTATCTGCAGGACCCTTTCTTACACTTTTCTGACATCAGCAGCCTTGCAAGCTCCACCCCATTAGTATGTGAATATGATATGAATAATGCATACATAAAAAGGGCTGGAGTTTGCAGTGCAAGGCTGCTTTCACCCTCCTTCTCGCTTGAATGCTACAAGGATGGATGGGAAGGAGTTCAGCTCAGAAGTGGGTTTATGACCTCTACTTTCCGTATTATTGTTTATTGTAATAAAAGCAGAACAAGAATGTAAGGAAAAGAAACTTACTCCCGTTTCTTTCATGAAGAACAGGACAGCCACAGTTCAAATCTCATATGGCTTTAAGCTACGATTTTCTTGCTGGCCTTCTCCACTTATACAGGGAAATAATTGTAGAATTATTTTTGGAAAACTTATCCAGAGTAGCCCACCAAGCACTCTCAAAAATGCTCTATAAATGCTATGCCAATTTGCACATTGTGCAGATACATTTATAATTATACATCCTTTTGAGAAGAAATCACATCCAAGGAAGTTGGAAGATCCAAACTTGATGGCGCATCATCATTCAATCAGTCAGTCATTTCTAAGATGTAAATTCAATATTTTTCCTTCCCACCCCCCTCAGTTCTCTTCTGAGCCAGGAGGAGCCTGTGAGCTTGGGTTTCCAGAATTGGGGAGAATCGCTTTGTTTTTGAATGATAGTCAAAAGCTGACATCAGTTGCACTTTTGGGTAATAAACGCCTTTAGCCCCCAATTGCCATTTTAAGAGTCTGAGTATTTAAGCTCAGAGCTGTAGAATTTGGATTTTCTTGTTTTTCTATCTTGCTTTTTGGTAGCATCAGGCTCAGTGTAAGAAAAACCCAAAAGCTTTTGCACATTCTTCTGTGTCATTTTAATTAATCTTAATAAAGGCATAATAGGAGCTTAGACTTTTGTTTCCTGATAATGGTCAGGAAATACAGTTTAATGTGCTCCCCTGACTCTTCTCCCATGAATTTTCAAACCCACATGGAGAAGGAGGGAAGGGAAGGGTTTTGTCTGATGAGATTTTAAAATGACAGTAAAAACTAGGAAGAAGGCGAGGGAAGAGAATAATTTTGAATCTGGTGTCCTCATGACTGGGGTAAAGCTGGGGCGGGGATTTGGTTTTTTGTTTTTTTGTTTTGAGATTTGCAAAGGTAGCAATTGGGAGAGTAATATGGTTCCATACATGTTCTCCATTTGTTTCTAGATTTGGAGAGTGCTTTTTTTTTAAGGCTTACAATACAGTTTTTGTATGTTTATTGCATCCAAATGGTTTTGGAGCATAATTAAGCAATCTGGGAACTATCTAACCTGACTAGATTTCGTTCTAGGATTTCTTTCTGAACTCTTCTACAGCTTTTTGTGCCAGGGATTGAATGTAGAATCTTCTTTAAAAATTAAATTGCATACTGAGAATGATGGCCTTTATCAAAAAAAAGGGGATGTTTGCATATAATCAGCATATTTGTGTGTTAGATTTATCTTGTTTTTAGTAAAAACATGTAAAAGCATCTTGACCTAGGAATTATTTAGCTGCTGGCTTCTCCTTTATAATAAGAGCTTAAAATTATTCTGTTACTCGTTTTTATATTGTGTGGGGTTTTTTGAAGATTACATATGTATTATTTTTAAGATTGTTAAAAGCTGGGATTCTTTCAATAACGTCAAATAGATGGTTGTCATTCATTTTGCATTCTGTCTTCAATATTCCCTGCCCTTGAATCTGACATGTGAAAAGAGATTTCTCCCCTAAGAAAAAGGAGTTGACTTGCTTCTATTCTCGTCTGCAGGATGTCTTGACATGCTAAGTATAGAAGGGCAGTTCACCTTCACCGCAGACCAACCCCAGATGCATTGTGCAACATTCTTCATAGGAGAATCAGACAAATTCATCAGCATAGATTTTGACTTTGTTAACATTGACTGTCAAGCTGGAGATTTCTTGAAGGTATGAGGTTGTCCGCAGATTGAGATTTTCTATATCCGACAGGGGTGAGGGAATGCATACCATAAATTAACTTTTCTTTTATAAAAAAACAGGATATATTTGGCACTGATAAAGTCAGAAAAACAAAATAGAAGGTAATGCTTTAGATGTCACGCTTGAGGTACCCAAATCCCTCCTCTACAGTCTGCTTCTGATAGCCTTGCTACTTAGTACCATGAATTTTATGTTTGTTTATTCATTCCATTTACATCTTGTTTTCAAGGATACCCACAGTTTTCCTATTTTTTCATTTTCTTTTAGCAGCAAACCTGGCAGGTAGACTAGCAGTTGTGGTAGAAAGTTAAATTCATCAGTTGTAGCCCAGCCCACAACCACTGTACCACAATGCCTTTCATGAGCTTGAGATTCAGTAGGGAATATATTATTTTAATAATGAAATTAAGTATTTAAGTATGTAGAATTAAAATACTAACAAAACATTTTGGAACTTCTACAGGCAATAATGTAGAAATAAAGAAGGAAGCTGACAGCCCATAGAAAATATGGTTATGGGAAAGATACTATAAATTTATCATAATACTTTATACATTTGCCAGAGTTTAAAGTATTGCAAGAAACTTCGTTCTGTTGATACAATAGATGGAAAGTACTTGCTCTCCTTTGGCTATTGTTACATTAGCATATTATCTGGAGAAATAATTGCATTTTCTAGGATAAAATGAAGCATAGGAAACCATCGTCTTTTAACCCAAAATATAACCCTGAAGTCCAATCTGTAGATCATGTGAGGCCCCAAACCCAAGAGTCATATGTGAGTCTTCCAAACTGAGTTATTTATTGTTTCCACACCTAAAGACAGAATCTTGCCAAACTGAAGCTCTCTACTATCTGCATTTACCATATACTTCACCCTTTTTCTTTCAGACAAAATACCTGGACTGGGTTGTCTCTTTTTCCTTTGTGATGTGTCCCCTCCCTCCTGGGAATCCATTCCACTACATTCCTTCACAGATAACCACCATACACCATGCATTTGTTACTGGAAAATCAGTTGTCTGCCTTGTCTTTCAATGGAATTTATTAGTAACTCCTCAGAGAATATAATTAACATTCAGGTCAAAAACATTCTTTGATTTCATGTAATGTGAACATTTTAATTTCCTTATCTGGAATATGAAGAATCTCACACATATGTTTGAAGAACAAAGGGATGATTAGAACAAAAAGCAGTCATTTTTATTCACCTTTAAAAACATTAAGTGTAAAATTGCCATTCTGCAAAGCCAAGTGACAGTTGCATCATTTTTATCTCCAAGAATAACACTAGATTTCATTTGGGTCCTGGGAAAATTCAAAGAAAACATGATAGATGGCCATAGTTCAGAGTTTTGCTTCTCTGCCCGAGTCAGAAATCAGAATTAAATTGGTCAGTGAAAGATTTTCTGGAAGGTGGTAGGGCTGATAGCAAGTAATTTCACCATATTCCTTGTTGGTACTCAACATTTTGTGAGAGTGCTTAAAACATGGTTTCAACATTCTAAAAGTATTTTCTAGTTCCCAAGGTTTAGGGACCTCAACCAGAGTATATGCATAGTTGGCTGCTCAGCTCAAGAATGCTTGGATCAGGAGCCCCGAGGGAAATGCATGGTCTTCTTGAACTGAAGTGAAGTGAACCAGCAACTGAGTGACACTGCATATTGATTACTCCGCTTCAAGTTTAAATGTCAGGTTTAGAAATGTGTCTTTCATAATTAAGCCCAATTATGAAAACATTTGAAGTAGAAACTACAGAGAATGTCAAAGTAATTATTATGAAGTGATGACTTATAATAGATGTTAATGCCAAGTCATGGCATTGACTTGCAGATTGGTGAAATTCCTGGATTGGCATGAGATACAAGAGAGGTCCAAAGCCTACAAGGCATTCTTTCTATAATGAAAAGAGTCAGTCTCTTTTTACTTCATTAACTAGTATTATACTCACTAAAAGGAATAATCTGAAAATGAGAACATGCATGTTCTTATACATATTTAATGTGATGCCAATAATACCATTAATATGAACAATAACAATCAGTCCAATTATGAACAATGTGTCTGGATTTAAAACTTAATATGAAACATGATGAACAAAGAGTTTACAAATTGTCCTTTTGATTTTGGAGGCAGAATGTCTTCACTCTGGAAATTGCAGTCTTGGTAAATATGGAAGGCACCAAGATGAGGAAATCTGATATAAATCCAAATTCTCTTCTATACTCCTACATCCCTCTAGGTTTTTGATGGCTGGATATTGAAGGGTGAGAAGTTTCCTAGCTCTTTGGATCACCCTCTCCCCACCTCTGAAAGATACAGAGATGTCTGTGAAGCTGGAGCTAGCCTGACCACCATCAGGTCATCTCAGAATGTTGCCATGATCTTCTTCAGGATTCAGGATGCAGGGAATGGATTCACATTAACAATAAAGCAGCAGCCTAATCTTTTCCGTAAGGTTGTTTTCATTTTATCTTCTGAAATGGCTGTGATTTCTGAGAAGAGGAACAATGTAGCCAAGCTGTGATCAAATAAACAGGAATAGTATAAATACTGATTCAGCAAAGGCTCAATCAGCTTGACTATGTTTTCTTACCCACAATGGAGGCATGCTGTTGCCCTCTCTAGAATTTTGACTTCCCAGTTTACTCTACCAGCCCTGGAATTTTCTGGCAGTCTTCCATTCAAACACTATCCAAGTTCAGTTGTTTGTCTTTTTGTTTTCATTTTTAAGACAACTATGATTGGCTCGGTCAGTGGTTCCCAACCTGTGGTCCGTGGACCCCTGGGGGATTTGTGATGTCATCACAAGGGGCCTGCGGAGGTTTGAAGAAATGTTATGATTTAAATATTGAGTTAAGGGGGTCTGTGGACAGAAAAGATATTTAAAGGGTGAAGAAAAGAGAACCACTGGGCTAGGTGCTGCAACTTAACTGGGCAAAGGTACTGACTGCTGGGCCATGATCAAATGACAATGGAGGGCCATTATTCTGGCTTTTTAGGCATGATTTGTCACAGGCATTTAGAAATCGTTAAAGTCATTAAAAATAGAACTCTTCCCTGAAGGTAAAATAAGAGCATGCAAAGAGAAACCAAAGAAAATTTGGTTGAGTTGGGCAGCTATAGAAATTGAATAAATAAATACATATTTATGCCCATAAATGCTTTAACAAAAGCATCAACAAAATGATTTCCCTGTCCTTCCTAAAATTAGATTCCTAAAATGAGGAAAGCTTAAAGTAAAGTACACTTGCAAGATTCTGTTACTATAGCCACTTTCAATAAAAGTAGCTTTAGCCTTTACGTGGAGTTGATTTTTGGGTCTGGTCTTTCTCATAGGGTTGAGTGTGCCTTTATAAGATGAACTTACATGGCAAAAAAGAGTAGGCAAATTCACTGACTTTTTTTAAAAAAAATACATCCTTCCTCCTATCCTGCCAACATAGGAACAATTTGAGTTAGATGCTTTGATACTGAGAACTCTTAAGTATGAATACTGGAAGCTATTTGCCCTTATGGGTTTTTTCCCCTACTACATGACATAGCATCTTCAGTATTACTTCAATAAAATAGTCCAGTAAGCAATGGTTATTTTCTTTTGCTGCCGGTGTGATATTTGCGACCCTAAATTGAAAAACTCATGCCTGATTTTTTTAATTAGAGACATTGTTGGAAGACCTCAGCACAACTGATTAGCATCTTATCTGTGTTGGTGCCATGACCTCAGATAAAAAGTCTGCATTCCTTTTTAGTGAACAAATTGTGACTCAGTGATTCTGTATCTTCCCCCTGTACTAAAGCTTGCAATATCATCTCCCAGACTCCGAGGGGAAGGTTTACGATGATTGTTCCTCATCAGCATCGGAACTGCAGTTTTTCCATTATCTACCCAACATTGATAAAAATATCTGATCTTAGCCTGGGGCATTTGAAGGGCTTTCACTTGAAGGTGAGTTGTCAGTTTCTTCCTTATATATCTGTTACATTACAGGGTTACACAATTCAGCAAATTTGCTGCTAGTCCTTATGGCCACATCTTGCCTATTTTTCTATTCGTTCTCTGTCTCCTTATCTTTCTTTGATATTAACTCTGGAAGGCAGTGCCCCTCTGTGGATTTTGAAAATCCCATCCTCCTGTTTAGCACTGGTGATAAAAAAGAACAAAAGGTTTTCTGAACTATATTCTTGCCTAGGGGGAGATCTCTTAGTTTGACGTAAATAGCAGAGTTATTAGCTAGTATATAGCATAAACCCATAAAGTGGTTATTTGTTTTTGGCTTAGCATGATGTTAATCATCACTTATTCAAGCTAGGTTAAAAACCCAATGTCTATCTGCCAAGGGGACAAGGACAGCCATCATTCACTGCATTCTTGCTCCAAAAGCTTCCCGTATTCGTGAATTCGGCATTTAGAACTCTTAAAGAGCTTCTTGAATTTTTATGTCCTTATGTGATATTTCATTTAACACTCATTTGCCCAATTTTTATAGAAACTAGCAGTTTCTTTTATTCCCTTTTTGTGTGGAAGAGTGAGTTGATTTTTGTTAGGATCTCTGGGAATGCGTGGAATCTGAATGAGAATCTTAGCACTGTCCCCTTGCTTGCAAAAGTGATCCCAAACGTTTTGGGCTTGGTGTGCAAAAATTTCAGAAAGTGCTTAACTTGACCCTGCTAGCCTGTCACTCCCATCCCAATCAAAAGAGAAACAACTCATAACAAAGAGTCTCTTTGAATAGTGAAATGGGTGGCATATCAATTTAAGACACCTATACTGTAAATACATCATTGTAAATATTTTTGACTCTCAGAAAAAAAAAAAGCCAATCTGAAGCAGCTCCAGATCACACAAAGGAGAATGGAAATAAGGAAATAAGGCATCTTCCATGCCTTTGCAGTCTCCGAGGAAAGTGGGAAAACACACCCTGTTGTCACTTATTTTTGGGAGGCTCCAGAGCGGAGACCTCTTCTGTGACTTCCAGAGGGTCCAAAGTCCAGGTGAGAGCACAACACAATCTTGTGTGGCTTCTGGGGGCTCTGAAAATCATGTGAGAACTTCCTGCATTTTTAGGGGGGGTTGTGGAGGCCGCATGAGAAATGTAATGTGCTCTCACACAGCCTCCGGATCCTCTGGAAGTTGTGCAAGAGCCTCCAGAGTCCCCCAAAATTGTTTGAGAATGTTCTTGTATGATTCTTGAAGGGTCCAGAGGCCCCTGAAGAGCAGGCTCCTCTCACATAACTTCCAGAGGGTTCAGAGGCTGCATTCACAAGTGCCTCTAGGTTTGTCACCAAAAATGTTATGGCATGTCACTTGTGACATGCGTGCCATAGATTTGTTATCACCGGCTTATAGCAACCTTTGTGAATTCTCAGTGTTTTGAGGCTGTGAAGATGATTGCAATTCTACTTTGAACTACTTTGGAAGAATTGAAAGAGAGCTCACTAATCAAAACTAAAACACACTTGATTATTTTGCAATATATTATCTTATAAATCTCGTTTGGTAAAATAAACCTGCATTTTAAATTATCCATTTAACATGGTTTCATGTCCTTCTTTTCCTTGTGCACAGAAACCAACTGCAGGTTGCAGGGGCACCGGAGATTTTATGGAGTTGCTGGGAGGAAATGGGTTAGACCCTTCTAAGATGCTTCCATTGGCTGATCTTTGCCATTCTTTCAGTGGCCCTGGTAATCTCTTGTGCTAATGCTTCTTGTTCAAATATTTCCTCAAAGTGATATGCCATATCTGCAGAATGCCAGCTAACTTTTAGAGGGCAGCAAAGAGGAAGGCTATACTTTGTTTTTTTTTAATAGACATCCAGATTTTGGCAGTCCAGGTATTGACACTGTAGATATAAAAAAGATAATTATATGAACTGATTGCTTAGGATTTTCCAGCTTGCCAGTAAAAAAAATGACAAAGTGTATTGAAGAGAAACAGCTTTCCTGATATTTATATGCATCCTAATTTATGCCATTGTGGTCTGTTTAATCAATCTCATGGCTTCAGATGCACTGCAACTACAACTCCCAAAAAAGTTCCCAACAAATCTAAACAACAGTCAGAATGTGGAAGGTCATGCGTTTTTTGCGTTAAGGAATTAAGGCTGTGCATCAAGGAATGACATGGTATTAATACTGTTTTTGGACATTTTTCTTCTCATGACTGAGATTAATATAGAAGACTACCAATTTGTGTTAAACAAAAATAAGGTCTTATCGTGTGGAAAGAGTTTTGCTCAGCTGCCGACTCAAGCCCTAAGTAGTATCAATCAGTCAATGTCATCATTGCTATGTGAAGATGGTTGCACAAACACCATAGAGCAAAGTGGGAAACTTGAAGGTACAAAGACTTTATGCAGTCCCCAACATCTCTTTTGCTATTCCATGCCTAACCCTGCCTAATCACAATTGCCAAATATTATTTGGTTCCTTTTTGAGTCAGAAAACATGAAAAGATTGTAGCTTATTAGAAAGTAAGACCCACAGACATGCCATCTTCTGCAAACTCTGTCCACTATCTAGAAAAAACAAAAACACATTTCCATATACCCAAGTGTAGCCTCATTCTCCTTGTATTATTGCTCCCACCTATCATGGCACTTGGGCCTCCTGAAAGTTTTCCTTCTCAATCTAGATCCAATTGCTCACTATAATGTATGCAACATGAAGACACAGGAAGACCTAGCCCATCTGAATACCCATACAGTAAGGTGTTTTTCCCTTCTATGCAGTTGGTGAGGTTTAGTCTTTTCTATCTGAGAGTTGTAAATGATGCTGAGTGTAAACTATTTTCCTTCAAGCAAACAAAAACCTTCACAATCTTTTCAGTACCATTCACTGCCAGTTGTTTCTGCCTTTTTCTGCTCTTTTTGTAGTTACAGTGAATGTTATCTTTCAGGAAATCAAGTACAATCTAGCTCACATGATGAAATATTATTGTGTGCATTCAAATTTTGTTTAATGGGTGTTAATAAAGACAAATTAAATGCACTTGATGTAAGGAAAGTGCCTCTAGAATTAGTACCTCGAGAATTATTCTTTTCAACCAGAGATCCTATAAAGAACAGTACATTGTTGTCATATTATATTAGTTAAATTGATTATACACTGATCTTACTGAGGTCAGATTAGACCATTTCAGAATAAAGGCAATGAATCCAGAATAGGAAAAATATTCAACCTTATTTTGAAGCCATTAATCAGTGTAAAGGCATTCTTTGATAGTGATTTAGTGTATTAATAAGGTTTTTCCTATCCTCTTTGCAATAATGTGCATTTTAATGTGGAAAGAAGATGCCTCATTAGAAATTGGCTAGTCTAGTAAAGAGAAGGACCAGGGGAGACATGATAGCGGTCTTCTAATATTTGAGAGGCTGCCACAGGGAGGAAGGGGTCAAGCTATTTTCTAAAGCGCCTGTAGGCCAGACAAGGAATAATGGATGGAAACTGAACAAGGAGAGATTTAACTTCGAAATAAGGAGAAACTTTCTGACAGTGAGAACAATCAACCAATGGAAAAGCTTTCCCTCGGAAGTTGTGGGAGTGCCATCAGTTGAGACTTTCAAGAAGAGATTGGACTGCCATTTGTCAGAAATGGTGTAGGGTCTCCCGCTTGGGCAGGGGGTTGGACTAGATGACCTACAAGGTCCCTTCCAACTCTGATTATCTGTATCTGTATCTGTAAATCACATGTCCATATATTCACTGCAGCATACACACATCTAATCTTCATGCACTATTGTGCATGAAGATGGAAGTTGCTTTTATTTATACACACAGATTATTTTTTCCCTGTATAGAGGCAGTAGGGCATAAAGAAATGATATAGGCATACATTTTGAAAATCTGTACACAAGTCCTGCATATAAAAGTGCAATCCATTAAAGTTGTTTAATAATTACAGATTTTTTAAAGCAATTAAAATAAAATCTAAATTATTTCCCTTTGACTAGCTCAAATGAAGATTGGCTGTGACAACACTGTACTGCGATTAGTCTCAAGTGGAAAGCATATCAATCAAGTAACCTTTGAGTATTACCAGTTGGATCAATATGAACAGGAAAACAACAGCCTCAACGAATTTTGTCTTTCAAGCATTTGAAATATTGGACAAGTCCTCTTCCTAGAACGTATTAATTCTGAGCAGCTAAATTGGTGAAACACTTCTGCTGTCTGAGCACTTATCTTTTCAAATGAAATCATTATTTCCATGAACATGATTAAAACAGTATTACTCATAGCATTTGCAACACATTGTCTTTTTCTTGTCTTTAGGAATATTGAATATATCGAAGACATGCAAATTTGTACAGATTCCAAAAGCTGTCTTTAGGTATACTTGCATCCATTGAATCCAAATATAGTATATTGTTGCTGCATCAGGGTGCCTGTTTTGAGGGGCCATGAATGTTCAAATACATGCACAATTTTTTGAAAGTATTTATTGTGCACGTACTTATTTTAGAACATTGTTAAATTCAATTTGCAGTTTATCCTCTTTAGGTGTCAAATATTGAAAGACTCACATAGAGAGAAATGACATTACAATTTTATAAGAGAATATTACAGTGCATAAATTTAATTACCAGTTAATTTATTCACACAAATGTATATTCAGTTTTTAATAAAAATTTATAGCATGAAAAAAGATTTTGCTTTTATCAGTTTAAACATAATAAATACATTCATAGTATTGACAAAATTTAGTTGGACTGTTTTTTTTCTTGTGACTTTCCTCAGTTGGATTTCATTGTACTAGAAACAATTATACATTTAACTAAGAAGTTAATGAGAATATTAAGTAAATTTATATATGATAAATTTTTATATCAGTTGTTAATTGGTAGAATTAGATTGGAGGGTCAACATCCATGAATACATTTCCATTGCATTCATTCACTAAGGTAACTTTTCAGAATTGGACTTAATTATTAATATTCTCCCACAATTTGATTCCTAATAATATACTTACCTAATATCTCCCCAAAAAACCATGAAACTTTTATAAAATATGAGCTTCCCTAAATCTACAGCTTGTCCACTTCTGGTTCAAGCATTCAAAAATCCATATTGAAGCTATACTCCTGATAGTTGAGTGAAAGATTGGAATATAAATGCAAACTTTTCCAAGATTTTTTAAAAAATGGATAGAATCCAGTGGGGGCTAAAGAGAAGAATATGACAAATATTCTAGACATATCTACATTCTTAACTGGGGAATAATGTGTTTTTATTAGAATATTGATGGTGTCAAGTTGTCTCATGGGCTCTCCCCAAATTTATTGGGGGAGAATGGTACTATCTGTGGGGAAGACCTTTTAGAATTCCACCCTTGCCTTTCAGTGTGATTTATCTCAGGTGCTTTAACAAGAAATAGATCATGAAACCATCTGGGATGCTTCCCAACTGAACACTCCTTTTCTACTATTCATAAAGTATTGGCTGAATACTCCCACAGTCCAATTTTGCTTAATCGCAGCTTCACACATTATATGATCATAACCAAACAAAAAACAAGGTTTTTCATGTTGTGCTGATAGAATAATTAGCTGCATTCACACATCACCCCAAACTCTTAAATCTCATAAATGAAAAAATACTGTGCATCCTGAATTACTGGAATATAGGGAGTCAGGATTGGCACATAGCACTCAAAGGCTACCATTTATTCAAAAAGGAGACCCAAAAGAAAGGATAGAGAAGTCAAACTATATTAAGAAGAAATATATTCAAACAGATATTTAGGGAGAAGCACAGAAACTTTGTAAGTCTTTGGGTAAGCCTAGTGTTGTCGATTATTCTAACATGCCTGGGTATCTAATTCTGTCAATAGATCCAATACATTTATTTTTTTCCCTCTTGGTGACAATTTCTTAGAAAATAGAAGAGAACAAGGGTGTTATCCTGGGATTTATCTTAACTAAGAGGGAGGAACTGATTGATGGAGTGGAGTTGACCAGCACTTGAGGGGAAAATGATCATGCTCTCCTTTAATTTATAATATCCAGAGGACTAACAAGAACCTGATCTGCATACTAAATTTCAGAAGAATTCATTTTCAAAGAGAAAGTGGCAAGAAGCAATTGTTTCATTGTACTCTCTCCGGTCAGACATTTTTGGGAAAGTGTTTCCTGTTTTGGATACCACTGTTCAAAATGGACACTGAAAAATTGGAGTAAATTCGGAGATGTTCTACCAAAATGGCGGAGGCTCTGGAAGCCAAATTCTGTGTGGAATAGCTAAAGGATCTTTGTGTGTTGGCTTATAGAAAAGATGACAGAGGGTCAACATCAAATATCAGTAGGGTTGCCACACAAAAGAAGTGACAGATTTATTGTCTATTACCCCAGAGATCAAGGCCAGAACCAATCGGTTAAAACTACAAAGAAGTAAGGAAGTACATCAGGAGGAACTTTCTGACTGAACAAGCTGTCATTCAGTGGAACAATGGCACCTTCATTAAAGGTTTTCAAATACAGATAGTGCTGTACCGATGAACAGGTTATGTTCTGAGATCCTGTTCGTAGATCAATTTTGTTCGCAGGTCCAAACAAGAGTATGCATATGGTGCACTGTAAGCTAACCTTCTCCTGACTTTTGGGATCATCTAGGCTGAAGTTCCAGATTGATTTGTTCATATTGATGAAAGTTTGTACCTTGGAAGTTTGTAAGCAAAGTAATATCTGCAATAATTCTACCAAATCCTGCACTGAGCAGAGGGTTGAATTAAATAATTATGTGATTCTAGAACTAAATAAGTCTGTGATTCTAAAATAGTGTAACACTTTGGAACTGTTCTATAAAAAGTAAATCCTTTTCAATATCTTGTTCCACATCAGCCCATATAATGAGACTTTGGAAAAAGTGCAGAGAAGAGCAACTAAGATGACTAAGTGCCTCGAGATTAAAACATATGAAGAATGGTTACAGGAATTGGATACGGCTAGTTTGGAGAAAAGAAGGACCAGGGATGACATTATAACATTGTTCCAATATTTGAGGGACTGCCACAAAGAAGAGGGGGTCAATCTATTCTTTAAAGTACCTGAGGGCAGAATAAGAAACATAGTCAAGAAGAGAAGCAACCTAGAATTAAAGAGAAACTTCCTAACAGTGAGAACAATTAATCAGGGGAATGGCTTGCCTCCAGAAGTTGTGGGTGCACCACCACTGGAGGTTTTTAAGAATAGATTGGACAGCCATTTGTCTGAAATGGTATAGTTTCCTGCTTGAGCAAGGGTTGGACTAGAAGACCTCCAGTGTCCCTTCCAACTCTATTCTGTAAGAAGTATGTGCTTACTGTAAGTTCATGATCACCCCTTCCAATTATAAACTCATTCAAGTCAACTGGTTGTGTTAATCCTCAGCATTAGCCACATGTGAAATTCAGGTACTATGTAATTTACAGTGTCCCAGTCTGCTTAATATGCCTTTTCAGTTCCTGATATAAAGCCCCTCTAATCACATTTTAAGAATAATTAAAATAATACTTCTGCCAGCCCTGTGAGGATCTACTTAGCAAAGCTAATATTCCTCTCATCAAGTACTAATGGTTAATTGGTGAAGCTGATGGAGAAGCCCATGAAGCTATTCTTGTGCAAGACTTCAAAACTGTGAGGAAATGTCTAGTGACCCCTTAATTTTGAGGCCTGCATGGCAGGAAATAATTGGAAAGATGGGAAGTCAGATTTGGGAAATAAAAACTACACACAAAGTGCTAGAACCGTAGAATCATAGAGCTGGAAGGGATTTTGGAGGTCTTGTTCTTTCCCCTGCCCAAGGCAGGAATCCTTATACCAGTCTGGACAAATGGTTATCCAACCTTTAAAAAAAACAAACTCCAGCAATGGAGTATCCACAACCCCAGGAAGCAAGCTGTTCCATACATTAATCATTCTTACTTAGGAAATTCCTCCTTATTTCCAAGTTGAATCTTCCTCTGACAAACTTCCATCCATTGCTTCCTGTCTGCCCTCAGGTGCTATGAAGATATTCAAGGCAATCCAAGGCTAAGTGCCAGTCACCTCAGGGCACAGAAAGCTATTGGAAATAGCACTTGGACCTCAGAAACAACAAACAAGGGGAATGCTAAACAAATAGTCTAAAACAGTAACCAACAATTCCACGGAATGGTTTGATAGAAATTTAATAGGGTTCAATGGTTAGTTCATTTAAACAAGCCAAGACAAACTTATTTTCTTTCGCCACTGTATTCGATTTCCCCTGATGACCTCAACCACAATCTTTAATGTCCTTCATATTTTTTTTTTATAAATTGTTGTACTACAGAGAAATGATTCATTACAGTCATTTTTATTTACAGCCTCGTTACTTCTGGTATCTGGAGAAAGTTTCGTGTTCAGAAAGTGACACATTTTCCCCCTTTCCCCCTTTTAGTCTTGTCTACTTATCTTTAAAGATCAGCAACTACTAATCATAGCAGCTACAGATTTTGTTCACACATCATTTCCTATAAAGGCAGATGCAATATTTACACGTGAGTCACTACAAAATGAACAGCACCTGCTGCTATTTTAAATTAAATTGATATTTACAATGTGACAAAGGGCATGGTACAGATTTTAATCTTCTACAAAATTCATTCTCCCCCTCTCCTATTTTTAACAATACAGAATAATATATACTTTTGTTTTAATGGTAATTCAGTAGTTGTAATTGCAACATCTTTGGCTAGCACTGCATTTGTTTCAGAAAAAAAGGAACTCTGTCATAAGCATGCCCTTTATTTATTAAGCCATTTAAAATACATTTTTCAGAATAAATTTTTTTTCAAAGGATGAGTACATTATGTAACAAATCAATTTTAAAAGCTGTAGCAGCACAACAATGCACAACAATATATTATTATGCAAAGATGTAATTATTAATAGGTCTAAAATCCTGACCTTACATCACTAACAGTCAAGCAGAAATGTAGTTTGGTCTCTTGGTTAAAAACAAAAGTAAAAATGTTTATTCTCCACTGACAAAACAGCAGGAAAAAAGCAAATGAAAAAGATCTTATAAGACTGGAGATGGCTGTAGTTTGTTAAAGTGAGGACGCTTTTGAGAAATGACATTGCGCAGAGATAGGAGAATGACTGCACAAATTCCATTCATCCCTCTATTTTTACCAATACAAATTATATGTTATCTTCTGCCCTTCATGATTACAAATCATTGTAGCTATTGTTGTCAAATATCAAGC